TTATTTAAATATATATATATATATATATATATATATATTTACAATTAAAAAATCAAAATCTTTGGACAATAATTAAAAATTCTATAATTTGGGATATTAAATTGAAATACACATGTAATTATGTCAAAATTACTATATAATTAAATCAATTACAATTTTTGTTTGGTTGGCAAACATTATCAACTTAAAAAATATATTTACAATGTAGTCAAGTATTTTACAATTTATAAAGTCTAATAGGTATAAATAGAAGTCTAGTATCTTGAAACACAGTAAACTGACAAATCCTCATATCCCAATGCTTCAGTTACCAATATTCTCAGAAGCTCATCACACCATGCTGCTCTTCTCTTAAGCATTGGTCCTCCTACCTTGAAAAGAAAAGCTCCCTTCCAATTTGACAAGAGATGGCTGTGTATGGATGGTTTTAATGATGTAGTGACTTCTGCTTGGAATACCCCAGTGTCAGGTACTCCTCTATTCCAACTCAAAGAGAAGGTCAAACATACAAGGATTGCTATTCTCATATGGAGTTCATCTAATCTATCCTCAAGGCAACAAGAAATCTCTGACCTTACTCATCAAATGGAGGATCTCAATTCTAATGGGAAGGTTGAGAACTGGGATTTATGGGAAGAAACTAAAAGGAAACTGAACAAGGCTCATATGTTGGAGGAGCTACATTGGCAGCAGAAGGCAAAGTACAGATGGTTAAAAGAAGGGGATGCCAACACCAGGTTTTTTCATGCCTTCACTCTCCAGAGAAGGAAACTTAATGCCATAACCCGGTTGACTTCCCACAATGGCAGAGTCTTATCTTCTCAATCTGAGCTGGAATCACATATCTCTGAATTCTACACTTCTCTATTCTCCTCAGAGGGCAGTTGGGGAGGAGATTCTATCCTCCACTTAATTCCTAAATCCATTACCCCAGATATGAACACTGCCCTCCTTAAACCAGTTGAGGAAGATGAAATTAAACAAGCTCTATTTAGTTTTGAAGCTGATAAATCC